ATTGCTCAGGCTTTTAGACTTGAACACTTATCATACGATACTCAACAGTGGTGACAATAATTATTCATACTGCAGTGCAAGATGGGAGTTTTGACTATGGTGTTACCCAGCATGCATTGCAGCAGCATGAAGCATTTTGTTGATTGTCACCATTGTTGAGATTCATATGCTGGTTCTTGATGTCTGTGTGTTTCTCACTTGGACGAGAGCTCAAATATTTATATGCATTACGTAGGTTTAAGATCTACTAAACATCCATTAGAGCGACACTTCCATTGAATGCTGTAGCTTCACAGAGTTTGTTATTCTAAATCTATTTAAAAACAAATAAGTTAGTTTGGATGTAAACAGATGATTATTGCATCACATGGAAACATCTAGCAGCTGCTCACTGCACATCGCTGAGCTCACTGCTTTATAACACCACAAGCAATGTTACAAAGAGAGATTTTACACATGAAGTCAAGGGTCAAGAGCCCAACTAAAGCAAACACTGATCTCCATGATGGTGCCATCATTTTAACCAATAAAACATCAACATCTGATCCTCTGTAATTCTCAATAACAGCAGGTGTTCATCACTAATGCACAATCATCATTTCATTAGTCACTTAATTATCTCATTCACTTTAACTCTTTGAGGACTTGGGATATGACTTGAGACTCGTTTGTCATTTGAAAGGAATGACTTGGTTCCTCCTCTGGTGAAATCAGCTGCTGAGTTCATGGCTGGAATAAACATATGGCCGGACTTTTACTTTCTGACCCCTGGATTGTCCACCTCTGTTCAGCAATGGCATGGACGTGATGTTGTCTGGGGGTTTGGCAAAAGGAGAGTGGACTCGTAACCAAACCATAATCCATAAAAGACAATATTTTATTTAACATTAACTGATATTAAGTGCGCGCTGCAAATGTGAGCATTTTTGATGATCGTTTCTGTCCATTTATCGCGTTTAACCACAGCTGTCGTCGGTTTTTTGTCTGGCAATGCGATCAAATTTCTAATTTGAGGCTGTACGTCGATTCTGGGACCCAACATCACAACAAGATGATATTTTAAGCTCCTTATGTAGCCGAATCTGCGCTGGTTTGAATGGGCCGCCTCCAGTTTCTCCTTTGTTTTGCTGCCTCCAGCTAGCGCCGTGACGTCGGCTGACCCTGGTTACCTGTGGTTGGCAGGCCAATTCAGAAGAGAGACTCATGAATATTAATTAGACAGGCCAAAATCGACCTGTTCTCAGCAGAGCTCCTGAGAGAGGAGCTGCCATTAAATAACTGTTTTTTTTTTACAGTTTGTGGCCGTAAAATAATTAGTTTATTGCAGTTAAATTGCATTTCATGCTGTTTTTTCCATCGTACATCTTTAACCCTTTAAACCCCACAACAAAATCCTCAATTTTAAATGAACACTTATAATGTGTCCACACTACAGAATGAAGCAGTGCTGAAGTTAATGAATGAGATAATTGAGTAATTAAATGATGATTGTGCATTAGTGATGAACACCTGCTGTTATTGAGAATTACAGAGGATCAGATGTTGATGTTTTATTGGTTAAAATGATGTCACCATCATGGAGATCAGTGTTTGCTTTAGTTGGGCTCTTGACCCTTGACTTGTTGTGTTTGGTCTTTCTCTGTAATACTGTTTGTGGTGTTATAAAGCAGTGAGATCAGTGATGTATAGTGAGCTAACCATTTTAATGTGATGTGATAATCATCAGCCTTTCAGTTGTTTACATTCAAACTGACTTTTTCGTTTTGTAAGTTCAGAATTTGATTAAAAAGTTCTGTGAAACTATAGCATGCAATGAAAGTGTAGTTGTAATAGTTATTGAGTGAATCTTAAATCTGTGTGATGCACATAAATATCAGAGCTGTTGTACTAGTTAGAAACACACAGACATCAAGAACCGGCATATGAATCTCAACAACGGTGACCTGTATACCGCAAATATATATTCTTAAGGACATCAAAACCTAAAATGAAACTCCAGAATGGTGTACAATATGTGACCTTTAAACAGAGGTGGACAATCCAGGGGTCAGAAAGTAAAAGTCCTGCCATATGTTTATTCCACCCATGAACTCAGCAGCTGATTTCACCAGAGGAGGAACCAAGTCATTCCTTTCAAATGACAAACGAGTCTCGAGTCAAATCCCAAGTCCTCAAAGAGTTAAAGTTAATGAGATAATGAAGTGACTAATTAAATGATGATTGTGCATTAGTGATGAACACCTGCTGTTATTGAGAATTACAGAGGATCAGATACTGATGTTTTATTGGTTAAAATGATGTCACCATCATGGAGATCAGTGTTTGCTTTAGTTGGGCTCTTGACCCTTGACTTGTTGTGTTTGGTCTTTCTCTGTAATACTGTTTGTGGTGTTATAAAGCAGTGAGATCAGTGATGTATGGTGAGCTAACCATTTTCATGTGATGTGATAATCATCAGACTTTCAGTTGTTTACATTCAAACTGACTTTTTTGTTTTGTAAGTTCAGAATTTGATTAAAAAGTTCTGTGAAACTATAACATGCAATGAAAGTGTAGTTGTAATAGTTATTGAGTGAATCTTAAATCTGTGTGATGCACATAAATATCAGAGCTGTTGTACTAGTTAGAAACACACGGACATCAAGAACCGGCATATGAATCTCAACAATGGTGACAATCAACAAAATGCCTCATGCTGCAATGCATGCTGGGTAACACAATAGTAAAAACTCCCATCTTGCACTGCAGTTTGAATAATTATTGTCACCACTGTTGAGGATCGTATGATAAGTGTTCAAGTCTAAAAGCCTGAGCCAAATAGTTTTTTTTTTCCAATATTTAAGCGTTATGGTGACATTTATTTAATAATACTTCATTACAGTTCTGAAACAGCTGAATATCAGTCAATAAACCAGAGACACACACTCATTATGATGTTCATTCAAGTGACTTAAAATAAGAAAGCTCATCTGTTATCTCAAGCTTTTAATTCAGCAATGTGCAGATGTACAAATGTTTGTTGTGAAACAACATTGCAATTGCTTAAAAGCAAATCACTTTGAATTACTAAAAGGGCCAAGAGCCCAATTAAAGCAAACACTGATCTCCATGATGGTGCCATCATTTTAACCAATAAAACATCAGCATCTGATCCTCTGAAATTCACAATAGCAGCAGGTGTTCATCACTAATGCACAATCATCATTTAATTAGTCACTTAATTATCTCATTAACTTTAACTCTTTGAGGACTTGGGATATGACTCGAGACTCGTTTGTGATTTGAAAGGAATGACTTGGTTCCTCCTCTGGTGAAATCAGCTGCTGAGTTCATGGGTGGAATAAACATATGGCAGGACTTTTACTTTCTGACCCCTGGATTGTCCACCTCTGCCTTTAAACATAATAAACATGGCTGTGTGTTCCCTATAGTATTCCCACATAATTAGTTACTTGTATTTGGATGTATATTTAGACATTATTAAAGACATATTTATCAAAGTTTGTGCATTAGTCAAATCTGGACACAAAGAAAGCATTTTGCTACTCATTCTTGCTTCATATAATAGCTTGATCAGTCACATGAAAGTAATCAGTGTTAAATACCATAAACAGAAACATGGTCTGAAAAATTGACAAATTAATATTTAAGTAGCTTTATTGGCATAGTAAAAGGTTTTACAAAGCATAGCACTCTGATACCATAGTGTTGAGCATTGTCACATAACATAATTTTGATTATAAAGTTTAAAATCAGCTCACTGGTGTAAACAGATTATGACATTTCAATGTAAAGCCAAACCAAACCAAATAATGTTAACACCGGCTTGCAATTCAGTATGAACACATGGGAGTCTAGCCTAAAGGAACACAGCTTATGAAGGAGCATGTTTTAGGGTGCTTTCACACCTGTACATCGATTGCTTTGTTCCGAAACAGGGATTAAAATTATTACAATTTTGCTTTTTATTCTTGGTACTGTTCGCTTTCACAAGGCAAAGTTTCTAAACGGACCAAATTTGTTAATACAAGTCACGCGCTTGTAAACTGTTGTCTCATTGGTCAAAGTTCCACGGTTTATTTTCCGGGATTCCTCTTAGCTGTCACGGCTGTCATCCGTCAGGATGGAACGACAATAGCTTTTTTCTTTTTTGTAGCTGTCCTTATATTAATTCATCATTTTGAGCAGGAGTCCAGGATTCATCGCGACAACATTTTTAAAATGCACATACTAGGAAGAAGAGCAATAAGACGGCATTATAAAATGAAAAAGTACGCTTATTTATTTAGAATGGCGAAGACATGCTCACCCACAGACATTCACAGGTTAATTTTGAAGTATTAGAAACACAACAAAGCTAATGCTTTTCACGGAACTTACGTAATTACCCATTATACATTGTGCCTGGTTCGTTGGTCTGTTGGACGTGCCAGGTTCCGAAACAACGAGCCAGGTGTGAAAGCACCCTTAATTAAGTTGATATTTTTTTATAATTTTTTTTACTGTATGTGTACGTTAAAAGTACCATTCAGGCAGCAAGAACGATCCTGAACTGAAGATTAATGTCTTGGCGTTGATGTGTTTATTGAACCAATCAGATAAGAGTAACTGGAGAGTCAGCGAGAGGCTCATTTGATTGGCTACAAGAAGAAGGTGGCCCCGCCCTCCCCCTCACGCTTGCAAAACTCAGTTAGTGAGAGAATCGTGCCAAAATTGTAAGCGCAGAGAAAAGAAAGACGGAGATGTACATATCGTTTATTTCGGGAACGTTTTGCCCCACATGCACAACAAGTCATTTAGACATTTGCAACAGTTTGTTTTTTTTACACATACAGATTGGTTCTATGCAGTCAATCCGTTTTGCAGTTCTTTAAATTTTATTTACTTTTTTAACATGTTGTGGTTACATATTTTACAGTGCACTGTAACAATTCCAGATTAATATTTTTCTTCACACCTGAACAACAGGAATGCTAAATGGGGGGGGAAAGGGATTTGTGAGAAATAGGGTTCATCCTTGTTATGTTTTTACTTACATGTAATTGTACGTAATAAATGTTAGTTTGGGTCTGAGGAGTTTCATACTGGAAGTCTATATTCTTCACGAATGTCAATGTTCGATGAAATCACTTCCTCTGTATATTTAGCACTATTAAAACAAGCGTAGGCATCATTTTAGACCACATCCCCTCTGTAAAGACGCACTGCAAGACGCATGAACAAAAATGGAATTAGAGGACTTTTATAATAATGCTAAATGCAGAAATGTTAAGAACACAACTGGATCTCAAAGACACTGCACTTATGAAGGAAAAGCTCGAAGCTGCAGTAAGAAGAAAGTTTAATTTAGGAGATGAGAACTGTTAGATACAATTTCAATAATTGTTTTCTAAGAACAATATTGTCAATTTTCCATTCTATTTAATTGTATAGTCTTGTTTGCATATTTTACCATAACGTAATTCCAGATGTTCTTATAAAACAATACTTTATTCTTGAAACTTACATCCTGATAATATGGAGTGTATTAATCAATATTTTTGTGTTTTCTTTCTGTCTGACAGGAGGAAGTCGATGTTTGGTGCCGATCACTGTGTGTCTCGGGATCATTTGTCTTCTTCTGATTGCTGGCATCATACTGCTGCATTTTCAGGCCGCTTCTAAGCGAGGTTAGTGCAAATCATTTTATTTGCAAGTAGTTTAATTTTCTTTTTTTTTTCATCTTTTATATATACAGTTTTAAAAAGTCTATCCTCGTCAGGATATCTGTGGGGTCCAGATGGCTTGTTCCTGTCCACTGAGTTGAAGAGCTGGTCTGACAGCAGACAGTACTGCAGGGATCATGGTGGTGATCTGGTCATTATCAACACTGAAGAGAAGCAAGTGAGTTTGTGTGAGTGTCTGTTAATGAATGAGAGCAATCACACTTATTCCTGTTTTTATTCTCACACACAGAGGCACATATCATCGTTTATCAAAGAGAGAGTGTGGATTGGTTTGTCTGACACAGAGAACAAGGGCATCATGAAATGGGTGGATAATTCACCACTGAAACAAGGGTAAGAGCTAAAAATCACTGTGTGTTCATTTGTTTTAGTCGTTTTGATTCTCATTATACATGTTGTGATGAACTTTTAGAAAAATGTAGAAGAGAAAACTCTTCCACAAACAACACAACCACAATTAAAGACATGTTAAATACTGTCAAGAAAACTCTTCTTCTCTCGTTTACTTTTCACTTCTGCTCTAGCTTCTGTACTACTTTAGCTTACTCTCGAAACGTGCTATTATTCTGAGTATTGTTGATTCATAAATTTGTGTTTCTGAAAAACTGAACCTCTGATACATGTTGTTCAGGTTTTGGCTCAAAGGTGAGCCAAGCAACTACGGTGGAAATGAGGACTGTATTGAACTGAATTATAATAGAGAGAAGACGGGATGGTCACCGCTGAACAGCTGGAATGATGATGTATGCTCTGAGAAGAAAAAGGGGATTTGTGAGAAATAGGGTTCATCCCGTCTTGTGGTTTTGCTTCTGTTATCTAATATAATCATTCTTATTGTAAACACATAAGTTCTAATCGAGGTCCCTGCCTTTTAAAACACTGCCAGCTGATCTGAAATTTGTTAGAAGGACAATGTAAAAATGTAATTATGTTCTTATTGCTATAATAATCTTCTGTTTCTCATGGCGTGAATTCGGGTGATCTGGGACACAAAATCTCTGATGTGTTCATGTTTTGCTCCAACACAAGCAGCTCTATATTAATATGATAATTCACTAATGAAACAAGGGTAAGAGCTAAAACACTCACAGAAAACCACTGAAGAATTACTTGTTTAAGCTTTTTATTCTTATTTTACTTTCTACATTTCTTGAATTTTAACTTCTGCTTCTGTACTATTTTAGTTTCTTCTTGAATTCTGCTACTGCATGTTATCTTAATTAATTAATTGCTTGTGACAATCCTCATTTAGTTGCTAAATGGGTGAAAACTGACACATTTTATACAGGTTTTGGGCTGAAGGTGAGCCGAATAACTAACATGGTAAAAGCGAGGACTGTATTGAAATGAGACCTTCAGATCCTGTCCTGAACAGCTGGAATGATCACTCATGCTCTGAGAAGAAAAAAGGGATTTGTGAGAAATAGGGTTCATCCCTATACTTGTCATGCTTGTCCTTGTTTTATGGAATCATTATTAAGAATCTAAAAGTGTCACTGATTCTTCCTATTATTCTGATTTTGAGTGTCTGTTAAACTGCTTTTGAGTTGAATTGCTTTCTCTATGAATAAAATGGTCGAGAACCACCATTATCATATTGAACTGCATCTTTGTTTTTATTTTTATTACTATTTCATTATTATTATTTATCTACCTGAGGGTTAGATTGATGTGATAGAAAAGAAACATTGTCTTTCGAGTTAATGGTGTTAAACGGTTGCAACAACATTTTAGTTATAATTCGTAAGGTGTTATTTCAAAGATGCTTGCTTGATTGATTAAACAGTGTAATATTGTGAAGAGAGGCTGTCAAAAAATAGAAATTCACACTTGTCAGATCATTTTTCACACACTTTCACATCCCTGGTTTTACCTGAGGCTTTGTGCATTGTGAGTTAGTGTTTAAAGAATGAAGTGTGCACATTATATATATATATATATATATTATATATATATATATATCACCTCAGATGAACAACAACATATAGCACTGTGTCATTATTTATTTAACAAACAGTATGCCAAAATCGAAAACCCATGTGTGACAAACTAAGGACACCCTTACTGTTAACATAGAAATTAAGAGAGTAAGTAACGGTCAGGAAAATACCTCTTCCTTACAAATAACTGATCATCAGCAAGTGTGAGCAGCTCTATAAAAGCAGAAGTTTTGGCAGTTTGCTGGTCTGGAGCCTTCAGGTGTGTATTAACACAATGCCAAAGAGGAACAACATCAGCAAGCTGGTTGAAGGAAGTTTAGAATATCCTACATTCTTTGTAGAAAAAAAAATCTCTCTGAGATCTCTGGATTTGTCAGCAGTTATAGATTTTGGATATTGTTTCCAACACCAGCGTCTTCTGATTCAAAGTGTTTGAAGTGAAATGTCCTTGTTAAAAATGCGTCCCGTTATTTCCTGTTGCCTCCAGAATATTCTCAGTCCCCCAGAGTGTAATGGCCGGGAAGGAGGTAAGACAGACACAAGATCTGAATATACCTTTCTTCAACTTTATTGGCTCATACAATAGTATATATAGACATATTGTGAGGGATGGTGTACCCCTTCCATCCAATAGGAATATGCATTATATATGTGCGTCATATAAGAAAGGAATATGTGTTATATAAAATACAGGAAGAGAGTTCTGGGAGAAGAATAACTTCTTCCCAGATGCATCCTGTTTTCCTAGCGGACTGAACTCAACATCTATGAGGAAGAGATATGGATAAAAACAAGAGATATGGAGAAGGATGAACAAAGGGAGGAAGGAGAGGGAACACAGAAGGGAGGAGGGAGAGAGAACACAAACAGGCTCTCTAATAATCTGTCCACTGAATATTAATATACAGAGTGAGAATGATCTTTAGCGCCCTCTAATGTATGAACAATGTTTGTTACTTTCTGACATTCAGCTTAAAGTCGGCATGAAACGGAAGCTGCGATAGTCTTTTCTTCCCTGTTGTGACATATGGTGCGTTCAAGTCATGTCGGATAGATCGTATTTACGAGTTGAACACACATGAACGCCACCACAAAGTCGTTATTACGAGTGGGAAACTCGAAATTTTCTTTAAGCACCGAGTTTCCGAGTTGGGGGCGTGTCAGTGAGAAACATGGCGGAATCGATGGATGCAACGTCTGTAGTTGACCGTAAAATTTTTTTAAATTGATAGTTTAGTTGTCCTATAAACTTAAATTGGTCATACTCTTGTTACGCAGCTAGTTAATGAAATTCAAGTCAAAAAATGCAGACCCTGTTGTATTTTCTTGTAATTTATTAAAAGAAGGTACACCAGTAGTTTGTCTGACAGGCGAGCTGACCAATCATAATGCTGAATCCGCCACTTTGTTTGACAAACAACCCACACAGGAGCGTTACCCTGAGTCCCAGTGTTCATACTATCCATCTTAATCAGTATGTGAGATTAGAAGAAGTGTCCCAAAGCATAGTATGTTGAAGAGAGTATGCCAAAATTTCCCGGATGGTCTGCTATTTCAGGTTGATTTTTGAAGTGTGGATCTGTGCACACTCTGATGGCTAATACTACCCACAATCCATTGCGCTTTGGAGAAGGATTCAATTCAGAACAACAAACAAGAATAAAAAGTGGTAAAAAACTTAAAACATGGCGAATGTGCACAACCAACGGTTTTAAGAGGTTTAAATAAAGGGGTTCGAGTTACTAATAATCAACATTTAACCTGGTACATTTTATTTAATGTTATCTGTATTATATTTTATCTGCAACAACAATGTGAACTTTTATAAACACCCGTTTGGTCATTAACTTTTAAATGCATCATCGTGCAAAAATATGAGCAGAGTTCTCCGCATAAAGACCCACTGCTGGCAGATCAACGTGCTACTTATTTTCTCTCCAGTACGGTAGGAAGTTAAATGAAATTAAATGTGGAGGATGTTAACTGTGTCAAGATTATTGACAGGCCAGTTCAATAATTGAATAACAGGCCATTATTGACAGTTTACCGTAAATGACTAAATGTAAATGTAAAAAAAAAGGCCTGTGGATTATTTACAAAAGCTGATTTAAAACATTATTTCAAATATTCTGGTGTGAATAGTTATAATTTTGATATGTGTGTGTTTTGGTGGTGTTTGTCAGGAGGAAGTAGATGTTTGGTGTTGATCACAGTGGGTCTCGGGCTCATTTGTGTTCTTCTGCTGGTCTTCATCATACTGCAGCACATCACCATCACAGCAGAGAGAGACCTGATAAAGAGTTATAAGAACACAGCTGAAGAGTTCAATCAAACCATCAACGGCTTACAGGACAGTTACACTGATCTAATGACTGAAAAACACCAACTGCAGAACAACTTCAACACTTTGAGTCAGGAGAACCTGGAACTGGAGACCAGAATCAAAGATCTCACTGCTGAGAAAAAAACAGTTACAGATCAACTTCAACTCTTTGAGTCAGAAGAAACTTGAGTTAGAAAGCAGTCAGGTCTCTAAGTGAGTAACTGATGAAATAAACATATAAAAGAGGTCAGTATATACATTTTGTATGTTGTTCTTTTTTTTATCTTTAATGTACACGGTTTTATTAAAGTGCATGTTTCTGTGTGGTTCAGGTTGGTTGTTTATGTCCACTGAGTTGAAGAGCTGGTCTGACAGCAGACAGTACTGCAGGGATCATGGTGCTGATCTGGTCATTATCAACACTGAAGAGAAGCAAGTGAGTTTGTGTGAGTGTCTGTTAATGAATGAGAGCAATCACACTTATTCCTGTAAAGAGTTATAAGAACACAGCTGAAGAGTTCAATCAAACCATCAACGGCTTACAGGACAGTTACACTGATCTAATGACTGAAAAACACCAACTGCAGAACAACTTCAACACTTTGAGTCAGGAGAACCTGGAACTGGAGACCAGAATCAAAGATCTCACTGCTGAGAAAAAACAGTTACAGATCAACTTCAACTCTTTGAGTCAGAAGAAACTTGAGTTAGAAAGCAGTCAGGTCTCTAAGTGAGTAACTGATGAAATAAACATATAAAAGAGGTCAGTATATACATTTTGTATGTTGTTCTTTTTTTTATCTTTAATGTACACGGTTTTATTAAAGTGCATGTTTCTGTGTGGTTCAGGTTGGTTGTTTATGTCCACTGAGTTGAAGAGCTGGTCTGACAGCAGACAGTACTGCAGGGATCATGGTGCTGATCTGGTCATTATCAACACTGAAGAGAAGCAAGTGAGTTTGCGTGAGTGTCTGTTAATGAATGAGAGCAATCACACTTATTCCTGTTTTTATTCACACACAAAGGGTTATATCTTTATTCACCACAGAGAGAGTGTGAATTGGTTTGTTTGACACAGAGTACGAGGGCAACATGAAATGAGTGGCTAATTATCTACTGAATAGAGGGA